CACCACGAATCATCTACCATACCTCTAGATCACAATGCATCGCATTGATCCTATTTAAAGCCGTTCGTTAAAACTTCTGATGCACAACAGAATCCGCGAAATCCTTCGCGCACAATACCGCGCCAATTCCCGATGGTTCCCCACAAGGAGGGGCCTGTGGGATTTAATTAATCTCGCTAAATGAAACCGTCTCGCCGGTCCAGCGTCCGAGCATCATCAAGATCTCGAGACTCCGAAATCGCGGAACAAGAACAAAAGGCTCGCTGTAGCATGCGTCGGGAAATTGAAAAGAATCAAGCTCCCAGCTGTTGTATTTCGCGTTGCGGAAAGTAAGTAACAGTGAGCGTTGGCAGATGGAACGGCAGCCGCGAACGATCGTATCCAAAGCTGGGTAATATTTATAGACAGAATATTTGGATTACTGTTTTAGATAATCGATCCTTCGCGATTCGAATAAAATAGTATTCCGAATAGGACATAAAATATCAGTAAACAAAAGACTTAAAATAAAATAGTTTATTATGGCAATCTGAAGTTAAGCGTGAAATAAATATTTTATTTTGATAGTGTAAAACGTAAAATAAAATAGTTTTATTATGGTAATCCAAAGCTAAAGCATGATAAGAAATATTTTATTTTGGTAATCCGAAACATAAAATATAATATTTTCTATTATAATAATGTAAAGCATAAAATAGAATAATTCGCATAGTTTTTAACCTGCAAATAAATTGTGAAAATGATTAGCGCAACGTAAAACAAGATAACATAAGAGATCATAATATTTGCAATTTATTGTCTTTTTAAATACCGCTACGTATGTAATAAAGTGCGTCTTTTACGTACGTTCATAATGCAGAACAGAGCGTACCTCGTTTTAGATTACCAAAATAATGATATTTTACACTGTGATTTAATAAAATAAAAATATTCTATTCGATGATAACAAATTCAATAAATAAAATATTCCGAGCTACGGCATAAATATGTACAGCAGGGGTGTCAAACTCGCGGCCGGCGTGCCACATGCGGCCCGAGATGAACATTTTTGCGAGAGATGTCAAGTATCAGGACGTAAATAATAATTTAACTTTATATATGTGTTTATTACAATGTACTGGTCAAAATAAAAATATTTGTTTCTATGAACATTGATTTTTTTTTGCGGCCCACCTAAAGTTAAGCATTGTTTATTTGGCCCAAGTTAGCTTTTGAGTTTAACACCCCTGATGTACAGTGTTTCTCAAATGAAAAACTATTTGAAATATTGTCTTAAAAATTGTTTACAACGGATAAAATATTAGATTTTACAAAGTAAAATGCGCGATTTAAGATAAAATATCTATTTACTATTTGCCATTTGAAATACTATGTTATCCAGCTATGATCGTATCTATAGATCTCGGATCACGGAAACGCGGATGGAACCGGGGCAAAACGTCGGCCGGTTCTGGCACGGATTCGTTTACCTAGGGCCAAATTTATGCGTTACTATAAAACAGAGATAGGCTGGGCTAGTCTAGCCGTGTCCTGGCCATTGGCCACTATTTCTTCGCGTCAAGAGCTTCTGTTCTACATCCTTGCCTAGATTTGAGTAACCGCCGACGATATTATTGCCCGATCAAAACTGATAATATACGGTTGATTGTCCGTCAAATGACTGCGGTAGATGTCAGGCCGATTTAATCGATGTCATTACGAGAGACAAAGTTGTTTACGATGGGCAGCGAAGTTGAGGCCAACGTTTGCAACTCGGTTGTACTTCGCTCACCCCGGTTGCGGATGTTAGATTGCGTCTGCCGCGTTGGCGTGGACGTAAAATAGCTGTAACCACGAGGAAGCAGGTTCATTGCCCTGTTTTCGTCATGATAGATGCAATTGCCGAGACGCCACCGCGTACAAATTCTCCTAGACTGTATTAGATGGCGTAATATAGTCGTCGTTACTGCCTTAAGAACGGGGTGCTTTCGACCATCAAAGCTATTTTCATTTCAAAGGTACTACGAACCTGCGGGATCGTTTCGCAAAGACGCTTACTCCACTTTCCCGATTGGCAAAAATAAATATGCGCTAAATATATTTCTGAAAAATTAATCAAGCCTTTCAACTTTACCGATATCTTTCGCTTTCACCGCAAATGACGACGCTTACTCCACTTTACCCATTGGCAAAAATAAATATGCGCTAAATATATTTCTGAAAAATTAATCAAGCCTTTCAACTTTACCGATATCTTTCGCTTTCACCGCAAATGACGACGCTTACTCCACTTTACCCATTGGCAAAAATAAATATGCGCTAAATATATTTCTGAAAAATTAATCAAGCCTTTCAACTTTACCGATATCTTTCGCTTTCACCGCAAATGCTATACGAATGATTTTTTACGTAGAACTATTCTGCGGAGTCTCCTAAATCCAACAGTATATTTTCATGTAACCTTATGGAGGTTTCAACGTGCTTAAACGATATTTAAAGAGTGTCAGTTCATAATACAATTGAAACTATGTACACTTTTTTAGAGAAATTGAAGTTGGATCTAATTCAAATTACATTTTATTTTAATGAACATTAGACTTCAATGAGTCGCTGTGAACCTTAAGGGCATTTTATGCTGATTTTATTGAGAGCGCAGGATCGTTTGTCGTTTTTCAAAGAATCGTATTTCTAAAACAATTAACTTGGGTAATAGTTATCTCGTTTTGTCGAAAAATCAACTGACTGTGTTAGAAACCTAGTGGCGTGAGACACATTTTTAAAAAGGTTGACTTATGTTTCCACATCCATACTTGTCAAACGATTTATATACACATGATGGCAAACAACATGAGGAAAATGTAACTTACGCCATTATGATTCTAACTAGATTTGGGCAAATTGCATTTGAAATGAAAATAAAAGACAACTAATTGAAATAATTTATATTAAACCGTTATTTCAAAATAAAAATAATATCGATTCATTTGAGGCATGGTAATTTCGAATAATAAATTCTTTCGTTATTTCTTTATTTCAAATTGGCTAAAAGAAATAGTGCTAAAAATAATAATGAATAAAATGATTTTATTCCATGAAATCTTCACAACAATTTGTTTCAAGCAATGATCTCTTCACAAAAAAAAAATAATTCACACAATAATATCCAACGAGAAGATTTCATTTTACGAAATTCACGACAATTTATTTAAAGCAAAAGAAATTAACTTCCTAATTATTCCAAATAATTATTTCAAATAATTATAATACAGCATGTTGTTTGAAAAATGGTATTACAAATAATGTTATTTCCAGAGGGATCACAGGCATGAAAATAACCATGGAATAAAATAACATGATAATAACATGACATTTCAAATAATGTCATACTAAATGTGCCCAGATCTGGTTCACATCCACTCAACTATGTACAGCCTTTGCTTACATTTTCTTCCAAACATTTGAATAAAGCGTTTTTGAACTGTTTACCGCATGACATTTTAAAAGCAATAAACCACTTGGTATGTGTAACAATGGTTTCTAGATCAGCACGGTAGAATAACGAAGCCTTCATCCTCCACTGGACATGTCGATAGGGGAACAATTGGTTAAGGGAAATAACCAATGAGGATAGTTTCGCCAGGGAAAGAGGAAGGTAACTGATCGTTCCATTGTCAGCCCCAATATCGGTGACCTGGCGTTTAAGCAATCAACTAATCTAATGGGACATCTGCACGTGACACGGTTGTTCGCGACAGGACTATACGCAATAAATATATCCTCGTGAGCAATTCGTCCGCTGTGATCCGCCCGATCATAGACCGTAAAATTGTATCCGGTCCAGGCCGATGATCGATCGATCTTGATTAGCGATATAAAAACGTTAATCATTCTATTGATCCTTGGAACATACAATGCAACTTTTAACGGATCATTTACTGAGATGAAGATATCATTCTGCTCGACCAAGATTGTACGTAGACCATACTCAAGAGGAATAGTGATTAGCTTACTTGGACACTTAAAGAGATTAGATGTTTAAATTAATAATTTTAAACAGGGAAGAGATTAAATGAAACTAACCAGGGCGATTCGACAACACGAAAATATTTTTGAAACCGTGCAAGTGTGTTTTGAATCTTAAAAGAAATTTTCAGCTGTTTTTATTATCGGCTACAATTCGTTTCTTCAGGATGAAAACAACCCTTACGTGTATAAATAAGTGATACCCTATTTATCTTTAAAAGTGCAGTAGATATGGAAAAATGGTTGGATTAAAAATTTAATAGTTTTCTATACTTTTCAAGGAATTATTATTAAAACGGTACAACATCTTTTTTTTAAATAAAAATATTCATCACTACTGTCATTTTAAATCTTTTGAATTTTGCTCGCATCGAAAACCTCAATATTATACTGCGGATTTTTATGCAAAATAAGAATTGTCTAAAATAATTATAAGATAAGACTGTCTTTTCTCATCTAATGATGTTTTTCTTCTTTTAATCATTTTAATAAGTTGCACGCAATATAAAAATATTTTCGAATTCTTCGAACATCTTTACAATTTTGTATTTTACCTAATCATTTTGGTCACGAACGCTTAAAATACTCATCATAAATGAAGGCTTTAGAATGAGTGCTTTGCATACAAAAGCACTGTGTAAAGGTGCAAAGTATACTAAAAATTCAGCTACAGGTCAAGAATGACCCGATGTCAGCTCGCCGTGCTGCTCATTTACGTTGGCTATTCGAGGATTAAACACGTACGTTATAATTGAATGCTTTCTAATTCTAATTAGTGCTTTCTACAAGAGCACAAAAGTTATCAGTGCGTTATTATTACGAGAGATGATAAGGAAACTGTAAATTTTATGTTTGACCTCGATTTAAGAAATAATAACACACATACGTGGTTCAAGTAACTATTCAAATTATATTACAATTTTATTTCATATAAAATAAAAATGTGGGAATTGAGAAAGTATAATAATCACAAAGTACAAATTGATTTCTGAACTCACCATGAGATGAACCCACTGTTGTCGAATTCATTGTGATGTCTTGCAAAGACATGTTGGTGCTGTAACAGAAAGAATAATGCTGGATTAAAATGATTGTATAAATTAAAGTATTTTGATAGACACACGATTAACAATCGAATAATCAATCATTGCATTTAAAGACACAATAAGACGTGTACAGAAGTTTCAAAGATCAAGAAAAACTGTAACCGTAGGAACATCAAGCATATTAGAGAATCATTTCAAGGCTAAAAAGCATACCTTAACGAAGGATTATTCCCTCATAATATCTATATTTCTATTAATTATTGTTCTTACGTAATTTCAATTTAATTATATACTCCATTCGTATTACGCACTTATGCGCGGTTGTTAATAATTCTGTAGAAGGTTACATATCGTTCAATAAAAAAGTAAAAAACAAAAATGCAAAGAATTACACTAAATCAAATATTTAATGTTGCATAAATCATATTCAAAAATTCGGTTCGAATTTTAAGTAGCCTCCTAAAGGATTTTCGAAATATAAAGTTTTAGCCCTTTGCACCCGAATGGTAACTCTGAGGTGCCACTAAAAATTGTTATATCACGCCTCAAAATCACTTTTACGTTATCAACTTCGTTTATATTTTGAAAAACTATTAAAAAGTATACCTATCGTATGAGTCACAAGACTTAAGTACGTATATAGAAAATGCAATAAATCATGTAAAATGGAAATACTGTAAGCCAGAAAAACGATTTTGTATTTAGAGTTAAAATGGCTTCGAGTGTTAATAAAATGATGGTTACCTAAACGATAAGCATACCAAGCATAGTTCTGCACTTTACATCAATGTTTCTCAAAACTGTATTTATTAATCAGTGCATCAAAAATGTATACATTTCAATAGAAATGTATATTTTTAATAACTTCGCACCAACGAGTTTCCAAATAGTTTAAAAACGCTTGCAATCCAAGTTTTGGATTTTGCAAAAATCTAAGATTACGTCCACCCTTTGCGCACATTATCCCTTCCTCTTCCGCTCAAATTTTCAACACCAAATTGTGAGAATTCAATGAAAGAAGCGCACATACTCTGTCTTCGCAGAGCAAACGATCTCCGCGGTCACAAAGTAGAACGTCCCCTCAAGCCACGACATCGTGTCTCGAGCGTATGGATCTATTAATATAAAACGCGTATTCATGGTTCAGCAATGCAACAATGGAAAAAGGAAATTGAAGCGGAGGGAGACAAAACACCTTTTTCTTCCATTTTAGCGAAGCGGTAACGCAAGGGCGCTATCGGCGCTCGAGGACCGTTTTATTTTAAGGTATAGGGCTGAGAATGGCGCGTAGGCATGCAGCGCCTCCTGATTCCAGAGGAAATAGACACTACGAACTAGACCAAATTAGATAAAACTTTTAAAAAGGATCAAGATGAAGGCTGCCGTCTATTTTCAGAGCGACGGCCGTCTGAGACCAAAACATCGCTTCGCTAAGGACGAAGTTTACGCGTGCGTAAGGGATTAATCAGCCGAGTCGGCGGCAACCTAGACAATGTCGTTGCAATTCAAGAGCAAGGCTGCGAAAAATTTGGAATAATTTAATACGGAATAGTAAACATTGAAATATTTGCATAAGTAAGTACTATTTGAAAATATTGTTTCATTTGATATTTAAATCAAGTACTATTTCGAAATATTTCATTAAATGTTTAAATGATGAGAAAATACTATTTACTATTTATACTCGGATTCAAATACAGTATAATGTATATGATTCGAATGATGATGCGAAAGATTACATTATTGCAACGATACGTCATCAAAAATGGAAAATTATTCAAGTTGTTTAATTTATTACTCATTTACTCAGTTACTTCAAAATCAGGAAGATAATAAAATACTGCTTATTAAAAAGAAATCCATCCAGCCCTGAGCACATTTGAAATAACATTATTTGAAATATTATTTCAAACAACTTGTTAGTTTATTTCATAATTATTTCCATGCCTATGATTACTTTTGAAATTACGTTATTTAAAACATTATTTTAAATAACACGTCAATTTATTTTAGGATTATTTGAAATAATTATTTGGTATAATATAATTGTGGAATGCTTCTTGGAAAATAAATATGATTATTTGCTGTAACTGTAAGTTTGATTTATTTTAGTATCCTCACTGACATTTCTACGATATGAAACGATCGATCTGACTGTATTAAATGATTATCCGATAATGAAACATATTTTTTGTTTTCTGCACCAATCAAACGATTATTTCCATAATATATAAATTTTCTGAGAAAAGATTTCGCTCAAAGCAAATTGCTGCAAAGATTTCTTCAAACTAATATCAACTTATGTTCAAGTAAAATCTTTTTAAAGCGAATCGACGCAAAGGTTTCTTAAAGTAAAATCTTTTCGTTGCATATTATTTTGAGTATTAGTTCTTTTGTCACATTTAAAAAAAATATGAGCGCAGAAAATGCCAGGACCAAAGAAACAAATATGGATTAAATCTGAACGCCGCTTTCGACTTCTCCGAAGCATCAAAAGAATACTATCAACTGCCTGAAAGAAAAAAAGCCCAACTATTCGACAAAATATAAACAGAAAAATCCAACATGTCGCTGATGACTTCGAAGTCATTGCGACTCTTAAGTCTCATTTAAAGAAAAAAAAGAAGATGAAATAATTTATTATTTGAGATTGCTATTATTTCAAATGGATCGATATTATTTGTATTTTCAAATAACAGCATTGAAAATAATGATTCGAAATGAATTATTTGAAACAGTTATTTCTTATTTTCACTTGAAATAAAATTTGCCAAGGTCTGTCACCAACTTCGTTTGGTATTATCACGCAGAAAAAAAACTTTTAACACTCTGAAACAAATTATTAACGTACTGAATTAATTGATGAACGACCGAGGTGGTGTTCCCAGTGAAACGAGAGATGCATTTCGCAGTAACCGATTACGCACCGGCTGACCGCTTGTTTTCACTTAGCCCGCGATTCCGATTCTTCAGAAGCGATTCGTTATAATTAAAGACGACCCAGATTTTGATTGCGATTTTCATCGCTCTAACGAACGGTGGGTTGACGTGATGTAAAACCGTTTGCGTGACATCCTGGTGATTTATCACGCCGGGCTACTTCAACCCGCGCGAGAGCAATAAGGAAATACAGAATTTCCAGAAAGGTTTAATTTAGATTTCATCCAAACGCTATTCCTGTGGGACAGTGTTGAAACGTGAAATGAGTAATTAACGGGATAACGTCCCTCCAGTCGAGTTGTCTCGCCTTAACAAGTTCTAAGAGTTCTGCTATTATTTGCGAGCCCCGTGCTGTCTGGAACACCCTACGTTGTGTCGCCTCTTTCCGCGGTCCAGTCCTTGAACATCAGTATTAGCACTTTCATCGGAGAACTCCTTAAAAAAGCTTTTTAATTCTCGTCGCGCGACGCACAGTGGTTTAAAATGTAGACACCCTTTAAAACGAGTGGAACTTTCAGCATGCATATAAGTTATCGACATCTATAAAGAGCATTTTTTAAATTTTCGTTATAGACTCAGATAAAAAGGTTAAAAAGTTAGAGTTTTTCATTTTCTTTTTGTCATTCCAAATATGCAGTAGCAATTTAGTCGATGTACAGTCACTGTAACATTTAAAAAAACTTCAAATCATTTGGTCCAGTTTTGAAAAATATTATTTCCTTATAAAATTTCGTATTATATGTATATGTATATGCTTCATATACGTATTATAATTGTATATGTATATACATAAATATCTGCACATGCTGTATACATGTAACGTTATAGTAATGAAGAACATAATCATGGTATATGTAGTTATAATATGTACACTTAGAATATAGTTCAATATAATGCTGAAAATAGTGAAGTATACAAATCAAGGACTTAATAAAATTAAAATCACTTTGTATATGTCTGTATTCATATAATTATAAGTTTTATTGTACCTGTCTCTTATACACATCTAGATGTGTATAAGAGACAGATACAATGTATTGTATTTACACATTTATACGACTATACACCTGTCTCTTATACACATCTAGATGTGTATAAGAGACAGATACAATGTATTGTATTTACACATTTATACGACTATACACCTGTCTCTTATACACATCTAGATGTGTATAAGAGACAGATACAATGTATTGTATTTACACATTTATACGACTATACACCTGTCTCTTATACACATCTAGATGTGTATAAGAGACAGATACAATGTATTGTATTTACACATTTATACGACTATACACCTGTCTCTTATACACATCTAGATGTGTATAAGAGACAGATACAATGTATTGTATTTACACATTTATACGACTATACACCTGTCTCTTATACACATCTAGATGTGTATAAGAGACAGATACAATGTATTGTATTTACACATTTATACGACTATACACCTGTCTCTTATACACATCTAGATGTGTATAAGAGACAGATACAATGTATTGTATTTACACATTTATACGACTATACACCTGTCTCTTATACACATCTAGATGTGTATAAGAGACAGATACAATGTATTGTATTTACACATTTATACGACTATACACCTGTCTCTTATACACATCTAGATGTGTATAAGAGACAGATACAATGTATTGTATTTACACATTTATACGACTATACACCTGTCTCTTATACACATCTAGATGTGTATAAGAGACAGATACAATGTATTGTATTTACACATTTATACGACTATACACCTGTCTCTTATACACATCTAGATGTGTATAAGAGACAGATACAATGTATTGTATTTACACATTTATACGACTATACACCTGTCTCTTATACACATCTAGATGTGTATAAGAGACAGATACAATGTATTGTATTTACACATTTATACGACTATACACCTGTCTCTTATACACATCTAGATGTGTATAAGAGACAGATACAATGTATTGTATTTACACATTTATACGACTATACACATTGTGTACATATAAGATTACAATAATACCATTGTTCCAAAACTATAATACAAACATGAACATAATAT